ACCAAATAATTTAATATTGAAAATTAGTCTCAAAATTGTCCCCAATAGTTTGGTAGCAATTTAAAGTAATTTTTTCACCCCATGAGTATTCATAGAGACTAATGTCACATTCTAAAGAGGCTTCGTTATCGGATTTATTAATGTATTTTTATTCAAAAAAAATTAGTAAAGTCTCACAATAGTTTGGTAGGACTTAATTTAGAAAGTAATCCTCTAATAGTTTAGAAAATAAAATTTTTTTTTTATTTTTTTTTTAAAACTAATTTATGAATTTTTTTCAATAGTTTGGTAGATTCTATTAAAAAAAATTAAATCTATGAAAATTCCCCAAATAGTTTGGTATAATTTATAAATTTATTTCGTATGGATTTTATTTGAAAAAAAAGATTTTATTATTATTTTTTTGAAAGGAATTTTTTTATAAATATTTTTTAAAAAACTTAAAAAGATTTTTTTTATCCAGCTTATTATGTTTTTTCAAAAAGACAAAAAAATTATTTTATTATTTAATATTGAATAAAAAATATGAAAACTAGTGAAATTATAAAACTAAAAATAATAAGATAAAAATAATAAAATGAAATGAAAAGAAAAAGAAAACCTTACAATTCGAGTTCGGTTGAAGCAAGTTGGCACACGAATCCTAACTTGGGTTCACGCAGATCCTGAGTCGACCAAAATGCCGTTGTGCAGAGGTAGTATATAAGGTTCAGGTTCAGTGCCTTTTGCTCAGAAGTCTTTTCCCTTTTCTCTTTCTAGTCGAATTTTCTCTGCCTTCTCTCTAAAACTCAACCAAGAACACCACCGAAAATTGGGTAACCTGCTAGTTTCTAAAAAAGTCATCGAAAAATTCAACCAAAAACTAGAAAATCTATCAATTTCTGGAAAAGCCACCGGAATCCCATTGGAAAATTTAATCTCGTCAAAAAATTCAATTGAAAATTTTAAAACTCATCGAAAAATTCATCCAAACCCAATTTTTTTAAGAAAAATCCTAGATTTCCCCAAATTTATCTAAATCACTCCCAAAATTCTCCAGAACCTCAAACCTACCTTCAAAAACTTAAAATCAAACAAAAAAACTTTAGATCGAACCCAAAATTTCAAAATCAAAATTTCAGAATGCTCTAATTGCCTAAAATTTTTTCAAACTTTTCTCTTTAAAAATCTCTATGTATTCATTCCCTTTAGTGCTAGTTCAATTTGTAGGCAACTCTAGAACCATTTTTAGGAAATGAACAAAATTAATCCAAGCTTGAATCTTGAGATTAAGTTCTACCCAACATGATTTTAGGTCCTAAAAATTCAACAACATAATGATACAATTTTGCATTAAAAACATTAACCATACTGGTGAGATTTTGATCCTAATTCCAACTTCCTTGATTTCCTTGTTCACATGTGGGTTGGATCAAAAAGGAAAGAAGGAAAAAAGAAAAAAAAATGACAATAACAATAATAATAATAATAATAATAATAATAATAATAATAATAATGATGATACTAATAATAATAATACGAGTACAATAATAATATTAATAATACTATAATAATTTACAATAATATATCATAATATTATATTATATTATAATATATACTATAATAATAAAAGAAATCGATCCAGTTAAACCCAAACACAAATTGGTATCTACAATGAGAACTGTGAATTTTTTTTTTTTTTTTGTGTTTTTGGCTGAGTCTTGTGACAGATTTCAGGCGGGGGTAGGGTGCTGGGAGATTTTTGTTATGGTTCTTGCAATGAAATTGGTGGCCAAAAGTGGTGATTCACAGTGGCTGGGTGCTAGCGATGGAGAGGTGATGGGAATATTATGGTTGTTTCGACAGTGGGGAATTGTCGGTGAAACTGGAGGTTTAAATGGAGTTTAGTAGTTTGCAAGGGTGTTGAAAGAGGCGTAACTGGTAGGGAGTGTTTGCCGATTCAAATGGAGCTCCTATTATCTTTTTGGGTCTGTGTCAAATTTTCTGTGAATTTTTCCCTTCTTGTTTTTTAATTTTATGAAATTAGGGTCTTGTAGAGCCGATAAATAAACCGAAATGCAGCAACACAACCACTACATTTGAAAATCAATTTGGAGATTTGACTGTTTGTAGCTTGGAGTGGGCAAAGGAGCTCCTAGAACTACCAACCATTACATTCAGTCAATTTTTTTTTTTTTTTTGTTTTTTGGAAATTTTTTTGTAATCTTTGATTAATTAAAATTGAATTTGGGCCTTTGACTTAAAATTAGGTTTCAATGTCCTTCCAAACCCATATCATACTAACCCAAAATTGACTTAGAGTGAACCTTGACCCAAGCAAAATGATAAAAATTTACACATTATATATATATATATAAACAAGTAACCGATTCATATATGAATTCAGATATTAATTATTATTATTAAAACTTAAATAAATTTAAATATTGAATATATAAAAGATATTATTTATATCTTATTTGAATTTGTCATGGATAATAAATTTTTTATTTGATTTTATTAATTATTTGTTCATAATTATCTGAATATAATATAAATGGATTAAATAATAATAAATATCTATTTATTTAATAACGATTGCCATCCCTAATTAAGAAAAAAAAAAAAAAAAGAAAGAAGCCGTTTTACTATTTTCCTTTTTTCCATATTTCAGTAGAAGAACGTTAATCCTACTCGAATCAAAATAAAGAAAGCAATTATGATAGATTCATTAGTTCAACACATGCGTAGCATGAGTGATGTCAAATCTTGATTTTAAATTTTTTTTTATATTGATTTCGATTGAAAAAGAAAAAGGTAAAAGAATAAAAAAATTTTAAATAAAAATTTAATAATTATTTAAATTTTAATATTTTATTATAATCAATTAACTATTGAACATTCTATGTACAATCAATTGAATCTTAAACACTTATTTTCATCAAATCAAACATTTATATATTTATTTTTATTTCAATAAATCCTCCATTTTGATGAAAATAATTAATTATTTTTTTCTTCAATAATGGCTCAATTGATGAAAAATTATAAAGATTTAAATAATTATTAAATTTTAATTTAAAATTTTTTTTTGACCTTTTCCAAAAAAGAAAAGTTTATATTTAGAAAATCAAACACAAAATATGCTAGAGCTACTTTAGCATTGTTTTTCTTGTTATTAAAAATTTGGATAGAAAAAAGTGTATTTAAAAAATATGATTAAAAATTTTAAATATTTGACATTATTAAAATGTTATGAAAAATTAAAATATTTTTAAAAATATAAAAAATAATATAGTGATTTTCTATTAAAAACTGTTTTTCATTTCAAAAGCACCTCTGCCTTTTTATTTAACTTTAAAAATCAGGCTTTTAGATTGAAGAGCCACATTTTTTGTTACTTAGCCTTGAAATTGGATTAAAACTATTTTTTAAACGATAAAAATTATTTTCAATAATAATATTAAATTAAATTTTAATGAAGGAGTTCATGATCCAATTAGATTTGAGTTTAATTTAAATATGATATCAATATGACAATTGAAACTTCAAAATTTATCTAACTTTATTAAAAATAGTACAACTTAAATCCTTTAACATTTTGATAGAATTTAAATTTTTATCCAAACTTATTTAACGGATTCATATTTTCATCTAACATTTTCGCAAAGCCAAACCCCGTACAATATTGAACGAATCTTTGAACTGGCAGGTATCCCAACCTTATATAACTTAAATTATGAATATAAATTTTATATTATTTTTCAAAAATAAAAATAAAATGGACAAAAACTTTTAAACTAGTATTATTCTTTTAAAGGTAGCAATTGGAGGAGTTCAAATTATTTCAAATTAAGAGGATTTTATATTGGAATTATGTTGACTTTAAATCATTTAAGTTTGATTTCTTTGAATTGATCAATTTTAAGTTAATAAAAATTTAAGGTTTTTTTTTTTAATTTTAGTTTTTGGCTTGATTCTTTGGATTCAGATTGGTTCAAAATTATTATTATTTTTTAAAATTTAGGTCTTTAATTTTTTAATTAATCCAAATTGGATGAAGTTCTATCTTGAATCAATCTGAATAAATAAATAAGGGTAAAATATATCATTGTTCACTTAATTATGATCAATTTTTTAAGTAATCATTTAATTATTAAATTTTTTTATTTAATCACTAAAATTTAATTAAATGTTTATTTTTATCGCCTACCTATTAAATTTTAATGACATATTGATGTAACAATATTACACATTTATTGCCAAAGGCAAAGTGGTATTACCATGTCAATAATTTTTTTTTAATTTATAATACCATACTTTGATGCTAATTAGAGGTGTAATCGAGTCGAGTCGAATCGATACAGTGAAAAGTTTAAGCTCGAACTCAAATTTGAGATATTTTATTAATTAAAATAATAAAAAATTTTAAATATAAAAGCTCGATTAGATTTACGAGCTACTCGAGTTGGATAAAAAAATACTTGAACTCTACTCGATCAATAAATCAAATTACTCGAACTCGACTCGATAATAATTGAACCGAATTTAAATTTTATTCGAATCGAATCCGAGTAGTTTACGAATATTAATATATCATTTATACTCATAATACTAACAATATCACGTTGTATGTCAAGTAACGTGTCAATGTGGCATCTGACATCTAAAGTAATATTAATTACTACGTTAGCATATTGTTAAAAATTAAAGATCAAATAAAAATATCTTTATTCAAATAATAATTATTAAATAAAATTTTAATAATTAAATGATCATTAGACATCACTATAATTAAGTGTTTATTGATATATTTTATTTATTTATTTAGTATATAAGACGAACATAACTCGTAAAAAAAAATTGATTCAAAATCAATATTTTTATCTCTTACTCGAAGCTTTTTAACCGCCAGATCAAGGAGTTATGAATAATATATTTTATTCTTTAAATAAACGGCATTTTTATTACCGATCTTGTAGAGGAACTGAAATATATCCACTTTCCAGGATAATAATACTCTTTTCTCAAAAAAGACGCGGGCCGGTTTTGACTGTTCTGTTAATAAGGAGTTCGCGGTATGCACGTTTTTTCAAAACTGAAAGAAAAATTAAATTGAAAAAGAAAGAAACAAAAACAACTCGATGCAAAAAAAACTGTTATCGTTGTTTATAACTTTAAACGCACTATTTCCGCGAAATCTCACTCTCTGTACCAAAATGATTTCTCTGATTTTTTTTTCCAATAGCGCACTTTTGTAAATGAAAAACGATGTCGTCAACGGATAAGAATCAAGATCCAACGCCAACACCGACGACAATAACGACGGCGACGTCGTCACCATCATCAACGACGAAGCTCCGTAAGATCCCTCCGATCCCTATTCAGCGATCCAGGAGCGAACCAGGGGAGAAATCAGACGATAGCAGAAGCAGCGGCGACGACATTGATGAAGTCCACGAAGAAGAAGATGGTGATTTTGGTTTTGGTTACTATGATTATGGTGAGGACGAATCATTCAAACGAAATATGTGCGGCGACGATGATTCGTCGATAATTCTAGCGTCTACTCTCGGATTAAACCGCATTAGAACAAGATCCACTCCGTTGCCGTCTCCTCTCAGGTTCTCTTCCTCTTCCAGAAAGCCTTCGAATCTTGGAAATGTAGGTGGTAAGCTTGGAAACGTCGCTAATAAGGAAAAGCTATGTTCTGGGATTGAAACATGCACTTCTCAATGTCCCAACCTTAAGCCTATTGATCAAGGTACCTATCGCTTTCTGCTCGATATAGATGCAGAACAACTTTTTTTTATTTTAAATATACCTATTTGTTTTCAAAGTAATGATTTTACTTACAAGATCAAGTTTGATTACCCGTTGGAAGTTGGAACATATACTTAATGATTTGAGAATTTGCGGAAATGAATGAATAAATAATTTCATTTTTTGGTGATTGCAGGAGCGTTTATAGGGAAAAAGGTTGCATGGAATCAATCAAAATCGCAAAGGGTTCCATCACCGCTCAATACGGGGTTGGAGGTAAATTGATTAGTGTTTTTTTTTTTTTTTTAAATTAGACATGTTACATAGTTCTATACGGTAAGTTTAATAATGTCACGCAGGCTTTCTACAATGCTTTTGTTTTTCGTGGAGTAATCATTTTGCTTTTGCCAAGGAAATGCAGTCGCCACGTTTCCAGGCCATACTGCGTGTTACCAGTGGGCGGAAGAAGAAAGCTCCTGATGTGAAAAGCTTCTCCCATGAGCTTAATTCCAAAGGAGTACGGCCTTTTCCTCTTAAGAAATCTCGTGCTTTCGGCCACATGGAGGTAACTTGCTCCTTTTTTTTCATTGAAGTAGAAAACTTCAAAGAAAAAAAAAAAAAAAAGAGAAAGAACTACTAGTTATTTAATGAGCTATTCTTCATTAAGTCCTCAACTAATTTTTACAAAGATCTTTGTTCCTCACAATGGCTTCAAAGTTTAAACACAATTAAAGAGCATTCGTGTCACAGCTGGTGCACTCCACTCTAAAATTTTTTGACAGTTTCTTTATTTTGGTTTATCTTCTTGTTTAGCTATTTTACGTTCATAAATGTATTAAATGAATCCAATTTTCAGGAGGTTCTGGTGGCAACCAGGGTGAAGTTTGACAGATTAAAAGAGGAAGTGAACTCTGATTTGGGTGTTTTTGCTGGAGATTTAGTGGGGATTCTTGAAAAGACATCTGATTCTCATCCTGAATGGAAAGAGAGCTTGGAGGATTTGCTGGTTGTAGCACAGCGTTGTGCAAAGATGCCTGCTTGTGAATTCTGGGTCAAATGTGAAGGCATTGTTCAGAATTTAGATGATAGAAGGCAGGAGCTACCAATGGGGATCCTCAAACAAGCACATACCCGCCTGCTTTTTATTCTTACCCGGTGCACCCGGCTTGTGCAGTTCCATAAAGAGAGTGGTTATGATGAAGATCACATTTTGGGGCTTCACCAACTTAGTGATCTTGGAGTTTATCCAGAACATATGTACGAATTTGCACAGCAGGATATTAGTGGTCAATTAAGTGGTGGACAGGGAATGAGTGAGAAACAGATGAAGAAATCACAAGGGCAAGAGAAAAGCAGTTTGATGATGAAACAAGATCAAGTTGGTCTAATTTTAAATAATGCAAATGTAGGTGCAGAGGTTGATACTGCCAAAAGTTTTGATTCAACTACAAGCAGCTATAGGATGTCATCTTGGAAGAGACTTCCATCTGCAGCTGGGAGAAATCGCAAAGGACATGATACTGCTGATACAAATTCCAAAAATAAAGCAGAACAATCTCAAGCTAAAGATGAAACTCCTAGGACTGAAACTCTTGAAACTCCATCTGGCCATCCTCCATCTTCTAAAACAACAAAAACTTCTTGGCCATTCTGGGGTGATCATCAAAGCGTAACATATGAAAATTCAATGATTTGTCGGATTTGTGAGGTTGAAATACCGGTCGTACATGTGGAAGAGCACTCTCGAATATGTACCATTGCTGATAGATGTGACTTGAAAGGCTTAACCGTAAATGAACGTCTTGAAAGAGTTGGAGAAACCCTTGATAAAATTCTTGAATCGTGGACACCAAAAAGCACACCTAAAAGTACAGACACTCCACGTGAAAGTTTTGACGCTACAAGAGTTTCTACATCAAGTACACATGAAGATATTGATGACTTCTCACCAAAGTATCGCAATCATTCACGTCAATGCTCTGATGACGTGCTGGATTGTGTTCCTGATGTTGATAACGCATTTCTTATGGAGGATCCGAATGTTCTGAATGATGTGTCATGTGAAACACATTTAAATCTAACCACACCTGATCTAGGCCCAAAAGCCTCATCAGGAGGAAGCTTGACACCACGATCACCATTGTTAACTCCAAGAACTAGCCAGATTGAATTACTGTTGAGTGAACAGAGAAGAATAACAGAGCTTGAGAATCAGCAACAGGTTACGATTGTCATAAGTTATATTTCTGTGTGCTTAACCTTGTGTTGAATCGCTTCTCTGTAAATACTTATCATATGCCCTTACTAATTTTGTTTCCAACATGACCCTTATTGTTGCTTCCTTTCTTAATGTAGATTTATTTATTTATATGCAGTTTGATTCTACATCATAATTGCAATGGTCTTGCTTAGTGTTTAATCTGATATGACTACCATAGAGTTTTATTTTCCTTTTAAAATATATAGCTTCTGTGATATTCTGTTTTGCATTAGTAAGCATATCAAACTATGACATCCACAATCTTTACTATCATGTGATTTTGTATACAAAGATCTTATGACCATTTATAACTGATTGAGTGGTCAAGATGCAAATTCTGATGTTGATTTTTAGAATTTCTTTGTCTTAAATTTGCAGATTCAAAAGTTGCTAGATATTGCTCGCTCTGTTGCAAATGCAAATGACTGTGATTACAGTACATTGGAGTGTATGCTTGAACAACTGGACGAACTAAAATATGCCATCCAAGATAGGAAGGCAGATGCCCTTGTTGTAGAAACTTTTGGAAGACGTTTAGAAAAACTATTACAGTAAGTTAACGTTTATTCCAGAATTTATAGTCACATATTTGTTTCAGTTTGTTGATAGGTTCTATTTAGTGAAATTCATTGGCAAATCTAAAATATGGATTTTAGCCCATGTTTCCATCACCATTTCATTGTTTTAATAACTTTTATATTGGCTGGTTTTTATGCCATATCCAGGCATACCTTCTCATCTATACGATTTTTTTTTTCTTTTTTAAATTATAGGGAAAAATATGTGCATCTTTGTGGGCAGATAGAGGATGAAAAAGTCGACTCATCGAATCATATGGCTGATGAAGATAGCTCAGTAGATGATGAGACAGTTCGTAGTCTACGCGCAAGTCCTATTAATCCATGTGGTAAGGATCGAACATCTATAGAAGATTTTGAAATAATAAAGCCAATCAGCAGAGGAGCATTTGGGCGAGTTTTCCTTGCTAGAAAAAGAGCAACTGGAGACTTATTTGCTATAAAGGTCGGTGTATATGTAACCAGAAAATGGTTGACACTAACAAATACGTTTTACGTGTTAATTGTTTGTAGTAACTAAATGTTGTTTCTACTTCTACAGGTTTTGAAGAAGGCAGACATGATTCGTAAAAATGCAGTTGAAAGTATTTTGGCTGAGCGTAACATCCTAATATCTGTCCGCAATCCTTTTGTGGTGAGCTTCAAGATTACAATAGTTTTAGGAATGCATTCTGTGTACATAACTTACTGATATGGATACGTCTGATGATTGAACAGGTCCGATTTTTTTACTCGTTTACATGCAGAGAAAATCTTTACTTGGTCATGGAGTATCTAAATGGTGGAGATCTTTTCTCTTTATTGCGAAATCTAGGCTGCTTAGATGAGGATATGGGGCGTGTATATATTGCAGAAGTTGTAAGGGCCACAATATATCCAGCATTTTATAAGACATGCGTACCTATGCTGGACCCAATAAAATTCTCACAATGGTACAAATAGTTTGTTTTATATTTCTCAGGTTCTTGCCTTGGAGTATTTGCATTCTTTAAATGTCATACATAGGGACCTGAAGCCTGACAACTTGTTGATTGGTCAAGATGGTCACATCAAGGTCAATATCTTTGATTTTATTTACAGAAAATCGTTGCAACACAAAGATAGGCTATGCGATATTTTGTTTTGCTTGTAATGTTGTTGAACTCTTCTAATTTTAATGCTGCCATGAGAAAATTACACATAACTTCTCATGAAGCTCTAATCCCTTTGATTATAGTTGACAGATTTTGGGCTCTCAAAGGTTGGTCTTATCAACAGTACAGACGACTTATCAGGTCCATCACTTGGCAGTAGTGGATTTCTGGAAGATGAACCCAAAGAACAAACTTCACTAAAGAGAGAACAGCGTCAAAAGCATTCAGTTGTTGGCACTCCTGACTATTTAGCCCCTGAGATACTTCTTGGAATGGGACATGGTATCCACTATTTACAAATCAGATAACACATGTATCATGAAGTTTAAAGTTTCCCTTTTTCTTGCTCTTGATTATTTTTTGTTCTTACTCCGTTTTCTTTGTAGGTGCAACTGCTGACTGGTGGTCTGTAGGTGTCATTCTTTTTGAGCTACTTGTAGGACTTCCTCCATTCAATGCTGAAACCCCACAGGTAGGTTATCCAAAACTTGAATGATTTTGGATTATGGCTATATACATACATACATATATATATGTATGTATGTATGTAAGAATTGGTTTTTTCCTCTTTTGATCAGAACATTTTTTTATTTTTTTGAGGAAGTATTGAGACATTTTCACGTAATTCAAACCAGTGTTTGTCTGGTTCACTCTATATCGACTTTAAGAGGGATCATACCATCTTACTTCACTACTCATTAGCTTCTATAAGTGCAAATTAATTTATGCAACATGAGCACATGATTTGCATTGTTCCCTAAGATGATATACTGACATTTGAAGCAAAGATACAGATATGGAGAATTAAGCACACCGGTAGGCTGGGATAAAAATAATTGGTGTGGAAAGATTTTCATGCTTGTAGCCATGACTAAACAAACAGTTAGACACATTTAAAACACTAAACCAAATTTTCAAAAGGAAAATAGAGAAAAAGGATTTTGAAGCCATGCTATGACTGCCTCACTTCTGTTTTTATTTATTTGAAAATTTTGAAACTGTGGTAGGCTCTAAATCTGAAAGAGTGAAAAAGTGCTTTGGTCGTTGTGGAATAAGAAGCCTTCGTATCTTAATACATGTATTTAATCTATTCGGGGCTATTAGAGCGGGATCCACTTTTCGGGGAATATGAGTCGAAGCAATAACAAGAATATTTCTAGTGGAACATCTTTCACAATCCTTGGAGAGATAGTTCACTAATAGACCGAGGGATAAGTCATTCGCCTCATTCATATCCAGATCATGAATGTTTGGAATCCATATTATGCAAGGAGACATTGCTTTTGCTAGTTTGACTGTAAATATAAGTTAATTTGATGTCTCCTAATTCTCATAATATGAGGATGCTAAAATATTAGCATACAATGTTCTTGATCTATCAAGAAGTACTCCCAGATAGCCTACAGATCCACAAATTTTCTTCATACCTGGTTAAGTACGGACCTTAGGAAATCCAGCAGCTCATTCTGCAATGAATGATTCTTTAAATAATTTTAAAACCCATCTTTAGACATTATATCCTCATAAATATGGTATCCTCAAAGCTTGAGTTTCTATGTTTTCTTAACTGCAGTCTGACCAATGGATATGATCAGAAGGATTTACTCTTAAGTTCAATATTTTGAAATCCTTCAATTTAAATAGAATCCCCTGAACATAGAATTTTATTTTTCATTCTTATGTTATATAATTGATAATAGTTGTTATAGCTTGACATTAGTACTATTTTGTCTTGCTAATTGCAGCAAATTTTTGACAACATAATGAATAGAAATATACCCTGGCCCAAGGTACCAGAGGAGATGTCGTATGAAGCATATGATCTGATTGACAAGTAAGCTTTACAAACAAAGGATTTCTGCAATTTATGGATATTTACCTTGCAGAACTGTTCATGATATCTGTACTCTATCATGAAGATTGTTACTATGCCTTTTATTAGAAAGATTGAATGGAGTTCGACCATTTTCCTTTTGACTATATACAGTCAAAATTCTAAGTACAGCATTCATTCCCGAAGTAGATTTTGTATTGATAGAATTCTCGTTGCGTGATCATGAGAAAAGCAGTGGACTAATAAAAAAACTTCTATACATGAGCATCTTTCAAAGAGCATGACCATAAACTGAATGGAATCCGTCTTGCCTGCATAGTTGGGAATTAAAAACTCCAGTTAAATGCATGGTTGAATCCATCTGAAGATATTCAGCTAAACAGAAAAAACAAGAGTGGTTTTATCCTTTCCTCAAAAAAAAAAAAAATGCAAGAAAGAAAGGCATCATCCTTATATGAAAGAATTACTTAATCATGACAACAGTCAATGGCATCCATTAGAACAATATTGATCCCAATGTTAGTTATAGTATTGACTGGTTATAGAGGCCCTTCGGCTCTCCTGTGGGTTGAGGAATTGTGGAAAAGATTTCCTTCCTTATGCTTTAACCTTTTGTTTTTCTCCTTTTCAGATTGTTAACAGAAAATCCAGTTCAAAGGCTAGGAGCCACAGGAGCCAGTGAGGTAATTGCTTAGAGCTATTGGCAAGGACTTCTTACAAGTCACAATAATGTTTACAGTTAATTGAATGTTTCTGACAGGTGAAGCAACATTCTTTCTTCAAGGATATTAATTGGGGCACACTTGCAAGACAAAAGGTCTTCTTTTTAATTTCATCATCCTTTAAAACAATAATAACTGAGTTGGAGCAAAAGGAAAAAGGATTAGGGATTAACATATTTGCAGCACTTAGTGAGGTTCCTGACTGAGATGCAGGCTATGTTCATACCATCAACTGAAGCACATGACACTAGTTACTTTATGAGCCGGCATATATGGAACCCAGAAGATGAACAAGTTCATGGAAGTAGTGACTTTGATGACATGACTGACACCTGCAGCAGCGGTTCAGTTAGCAACATGCAGGATGAAGATGTATGTGCAAATTTTAACGTTTTTTTAATTTGTTATTTGTTTATAGTGGATGACACCATGATTATTGATGCCTGTGCTACACAGCAAATTAAGGAAGCAACTTCTATGTTCTATCTTTTCGGTAACAAAAGGGTTTAGTTTCAATAGTTGATAGGACTTGATTTGATTGATGAGATTACATTGATCATTTTTAGGTGAAGAAAAAAGCTCTATCTTTAAACAGTGAACATGAAATAAAATTATTAGACTGAATAATTCTTTAAGAGTTATGATTGCCATATCCATCTTAAGAATTGCACAGATGTTTAATTGGAACCGGTCACCTATGAAGTATGGACCATCGTCATTCTGAGAATTCTTATGCCTCTGATACAGGGGGATGAATGTGGCAGTTTGACGGATTTCAGTGCCCCAACCCTTACTGTGAAGTACTCATTTAGTAATTTCTCATATAAGGTGAGAATGACTACTATTACTAATTTTGTAGTTCCCTTATAACTTGATGGAAATGAAATAATTGTATGTCATTTAGATAATTCAGTAGATGAGCTTTAGTATCCCTACACATTCTAAATTAATTTTTGAGAACTTATAAACTTCAAGTTTTATCATATTGGTGGAAGTGGAAGTCTAATTGTACCCAGGGATTGAGGAAAAATGGTTGTCTTTCTGGAAAAGAAAATAGAAACTTTAAACTAATGTTGTGCTTAAACATCATTTGCGCTCTTATTACTAATGTTGCAGTCAGATTGTAGATTTCACTGAACTTTTTATTTTCACAGAATTTGTCTCAACTGGCTTCGATCAATTATGATCTGGTCGTAAAGAGCGCCAAGGAATCAGCACAAGCCCCCAAACCATCTGTGCCATGACTGGTTTAGTAAATATTTATATCCTATCACTTATTTGTCCATCTGTTCTCTCATGTGTAAGTTTCTTCTTTGACACAATTGCTTTCATCTATCTTTGGCCTGAGAAGTTCAAGACAAGGTTCATCTGGCTCAACATGGGCTCCAACTGAAAGTGGAGCAGTTGATTTTTCTGATGAAAATTATATGCAGACATCAGTTAGAAAGGATGTACTATAATCAGCTGACAGTACGAATGAACTGCAGAAGCCTGTCATAGTTCCACCTGTACATCCAGTCCTGCCTTCCCCATCCGGTTCCCTCCCTGACCCCCACCCCAATACTACCATGCTCTTATTTTTGTTTTCCTAATGTTGTCACCTTTTCATGTATATGCTTTTATACTCTTTATTGGATAATTATTGAAAACTTCACAAGCGTATGCTGCTATTTCACTGTTATCTACTCTGCATATCTTGGATTCTCTGGCTTGCCAGGCGGCAGGCAGTGACAATATAACTCATCGCAAACATTAGAGGCCAAGCAGCTAAGAGCTGCATGTGGCAAGAGATGTTCTAGGTAGCAATTATCGCTCAAATTACAGATGGTGATTGGCTATGAGGACTTGTATGTTTTTTGGAACTGAAGCACTGAGCAAGTAAGCATTTCTTTACTTAACTTTAAGGGACATGACATCCAATGAAACTAAAATATGTGATTCAGCATTCCACTTGCCCTAGGCTTTTAGGCTTCTTTTCCCCCCCACCCACCAACTAGCCAGGATTTATGGTAAACGGGTCTGTGATGCTTCAAGGCACCAAATTTTATCAATCATTGGCACATTATAAAAAGTTTTAAAACTTTGAGAATCAAAAGGAAAACACATAAAGAATGCCAGAAAAAGAACTGTAAGTGGTACTCATGGTATGAATGCGTCAAGACAATGGCTTTAGTAGTACATAATATCTTAGTAACATTCCCTTGATGGCTTTTTGGATCTTAAATCTTTATATTCCCCTTTGTTTTTGTTTTTTTGTTCTAAATAAGTGAAAATAGAACACGTTAGTGTAGGTACAGTTAGTAAAAAAATGCAAATGGCTCAATGTATAAATGGCTCTGTTAAATTAACAATGACACTGCAATTATCTTTCTTGTACGTGACCAAATTTTTAGCTTAGAACACATAGGATTATAGGTGAGATACGTTATGCAGCTGTAATGGTCATTTTCATTAAAAAAAAAAAAACCCTTATTAAAATTGAACTGAAGTGATTTGATAATATGATATTAGATATTTATACAAGCTTATAGTTCAAAATGTTCGAATGTAAATACTTATCCTATGCAAAAATATATATTGAATAATTTAAAATTTGAACTAAACAGTTATTTAATGAAATTTACTATGCTTATAATACTAGAAAAATTGTTCGGCTATAGAATAACTTTCTTATTTTAAAATAATATAAATTGTTTGATTTTTTTTTTTGTTGAATGATAAGTATTGCCTTGTTTATGTATGAAAATATAAAAATTTTAACAATAAGTATATATTTTAGGAGGTTTTTTTCTAAATACATATCTTTTATTATTAAGTTAAAATTATTTTACCAGATATTATTAATTTTAACTAATTTAATCTTTATTTTCATTATTTTTTAAAATTATTCTTTACTAACTTGATTAAGTAATTATATAAATGAAAATTTATGCACAATAGTTAGAAAAAAAATAAACAAATAAAATAATTGCATTTTTTATTTTCTTTTCCTGTTTTATAATCAAGCAAATGTTAAAAAAAAAAAAAAAAGAATTGAAGGCTTTTAAAAAAAAATCAAAAACCAAAAAAAAAAATTGCAATTAGAAGTTAATCGTTATTCCAATTAGGGTTTGCTTGGATGAGACATTTGAACTAGAGATTTTATTTCATGTAAGGTTTTTAAATATTCAAAAATGAATTTATTTGCTTGGGTAAAAATAAAATAATCTTCGTCTTGATTTAATAGTTAAAGTTTTATGAAAACATAAAGGTTTTGATTTCGAGTTAGATTTTTTTTTTTTAAGGTTTATACCCTTTTCTAAACAAAAAAATAAAAAAAAAATTTAAACACTTCAATCTCTTTATTGCATATAAGTCATTGCAAAATATAAAATTAAAAAAAAATAAAATATCACTTTATTTAATTTTAATATATTTTTAATATTATTAATAATATCTATATATTTTGAAAAATCTAATAATACTCATATTGCATTATTGATTTTTATACATATATTTTATCTTTAATATTATTAATTTTCTTTTATAATTTTTTTATTTCATTAAATTCCAATGGACTAAAATTTTTAAGAATATTTATCTAAATAAAATAATTACAAATACTAAAATTTTAAAATGATGCATTTTTAAATACTTTAATTTTAAATTTTTCAAAATTTTATTCATACACAACCTTAACAATTTTTTTGCTTAAGGCCAAAGTGCACGAGTATTTGTATAACTAGTGACGGTACAACTAATACTTTATTCGTACTTTTCCGTGGTAGGACTAATGATGACATGAGCACTTGGTGAGTTTATTTTTATTAGAAAAATGTCTTCACGTTGTCGCGAATCTTTTTTTTATTATTATTTTGTCATTTTTAGTTATTAAATATTTTTTATAAAATTTATTTAATTAAAAAATAAAAAAAGACAAAGGGTAAAAAAAAAAAATAAAACACAGATATTTTAATTAGTTTTTTTTCATAAAATTTATCCAATGAAAATATAAATACAAAAAAAGTGAAAAAAAAATAAATTAAAAAAAAGATTAAGATGTATTTTTTTACAAAATTTATTTAATAAAAAAAATAAAAAAAAATCAAGAGTTCACAAAAAGTGCCACATTGACACTATATATACCTCAAAATATATCAAAATAAAATATTTTAAATATACTTTTTTTAATCTTAACTTATTTCTTTTTAACAAATTCTATTCGTCTCAAGTTAATCATGATTTAAAATAAAAATTATTAGATTAAGATAAATCAAAATTTATTAAATATCGATTATTTTTACATTTTTATTAATTGATCACATTTTTAATTGTAAATTTTACTTAATTAAAAAAATTTTAGTATTAAGCGACCCATTAAAAACTAAAAAAGTTTATTAAACATTAAAAAAAGAGAAAAAAAAAAAGAACACATACGCTCAAGCAATAAAATCAAAGTTAAAAAAAAAAAAAAAAAGAAAAAAAATGCGTTCTACAAACAATAAAAAAGTTGATCCCACGAACATCAAAGAGTTATAAAATATTTAAAAATAAAAATAAAAAGCAGGGATAGCAATGGATACCTATAAATGAGTATTGAAAATTATTCAACTCAATTAAATAAAATTAAAATATCTTATAATCCGATTCAAATAGTAAAATTATTATCTTTCACTAGTTCGGATATAATTTGAATAGTGATATTAGGGTACTCACAATTTGAATTTCATTATAAAAAATATTTTTTAATATTATATATATTTTTATTTGTAAATTATTTATTATTAATAATTCCTAACTAAATTAATTCATTAAATTTCTTAATTATTATTTTTTACTTTAATTTATTTTTACGAGGTAATTTTAATATATTAATTTAGAATTTTTTAATAATATGATTAATATTTATTTTAAATTTAAGTTACAAAGTCAAACTTTGACTTAGAAATTGGCATTTAATGTGTCCGGGTAATTAATATGTATTTTCTATATTATATGGGCAGATTTCGAATGGTAAAAATAAAAAAATTTTTGAGTACTTATTTGGTTCGAGTATTTTGATAAATAATCCAGTTCGAGCATTGAGTACGAGCATCTAAAAATATCTAAGTACTCACTTGTTGACATCTAAATAAACATTGAAAAATAAAAAGGACACATGGCACTCTATAAAAAATAAAAAAAAAAAACAAAAATATAAAAAAAAGCATTACACGTGGCAAATCAATATTACCGGTACATATAAAGGATTTATATATACATTTTTTTCGGGTTTTGTTTAGGATAGATCTTACGGGAAACCAAATCTAAAAATTTATTTATTAAATATATATATAATTAAAAGAAATAAAAAATAAAAAAAATACAAGCGGCATACATTCAGTATCAAATAAATGTTACATAAAAATCCTAAAAAGTATTTATTAAATATTTTTTAAAAAGAAAAAAGGTAAAAAGGAAAAAAAATTGGATATAAGTGAGCCTGACACGTATAAAAATAAAATCTTCATCATATATATATATATTTTAAAAATTTTAAAAATATTTATTAAATATTAAAAAATTAAAAAAAGTTTATAAAAAAAAAAAGAAACTATATATATAAAATAAAATTTACAGCATTTATATATAGGATACGTTAAAATCACCTTGAATTTCTTAGGCCAAAAGTGCTGTGCTTGTTTGCGACATCCCTGAATAGTCACTAAAAAACCAAGCCAATGGATAGGCACCGAAAAATTTGGATTGAGACATGCCAAGATTCTGATTAGTATTTTAATTCATGATTTCCCCTTTATCTGCTCAAAGATAGAGTGAGTCTAATTATCTTTTTTTTTTTTCTGGGAAATAAAAAAGCAGAAAATCGTGTTTGGCAATGATGATGATGAAGGCTTAGTTTGGTAGTGTACAGATTTTCAACTTTATTATTATATATTATGAATGTAATCATTGGAAAGTTGAAATCATCATCATTGGTGATTTTCTAAGTAAAAGTCACATTAATTTCTAACTATGACTCAATACCATTGTGAACTTCAGGATGAAGAATTTCATAAATTATGATGGTGGTGTTGATTTGGCCATGTTCATTACATCTTCACGAGATTGATAAATTATTATAATTTGTTTATGAGATATTATCTTATTCATTATCAATAAAATTTTTAAATTTCATTAATAAAATTACATATATTCACATATTAAAAAAATTAATTTAAAAAATAAGATATGATAGTTTTTAATTTTGTTTATAAAATTAAAAAATTACATGGATAGTGTTTTAAATGCGAACTCTTTGTTTATTTATCGAGAAAACTTTTTAACTATATATTATCAACAAATTTTTTATAATTAATTTCCCTAGTTTGTCTTTTGTCGTTTGTCCTCAAATTCGTGGCTTTTAGTTTGAATTAATCCCAAAGATATTCAATGAATTAGACCATAATTTCAAAATGGCAGACAGTGATAACTAAAAGAAATATTTGGACAAGTTAGTGGGAAAATGTAATTAAATTTTCTTTCTTTGGATGCTACTGTAAGAATTAATTAGTATTAGTCGAGCAAGGTCGTGGAGAAAGGATGTCAAATGTAGGATAATCTGTGACCATCGATCAAGGCCAAGCGCACGCATGGACGGTGAGTGAACCCTCCAACCAATTTTTGCTTTGAAGATTAAGAAAAATTTTAAGGTTAAAGCAAATTCTATTTAAAGTTTATTTTTCATACAATTATAATATCTTAATCTTCTTTGTATAATTATAGAAATATATGTACGTGATATCTTCAAATTTTTGGCCTAGTAACTGAGAAAGTTTTAGAAAAACATAAGGCTAGAGTGACTCCAACCTCTCCCTTCTTCCCTGGGCTTTGCTCTCCTTTGAAACCAATATATATATATATATATGTCCGTGATTCCAGCTACCTACCAC